TATTTATTTATTTGAGAGGGGGTGGACAGAGACTGTAAGCAGGGGGAAGGAGAGGGACAAGAAGACTCTGTGCTAAGCATAGAGCCTGACGTGGGGCTTGATATCAGGACCCTGAACCTAAATCAAGAGTCAGGTGATCAACTGACTGAGCCACCCAGGTGCCCCAGAATACATTGTTTTTAATTTCAAATGTTCTTTAAGGTAAACTTCATGATAATCCCATCCTTTGAAAATTACTAAATCCCTTATAATCACAACCCTTAGCACTGTGTTCATCTGGGGAGATAAAAAGGGTCAAGGACAATACCCAATTTCCAATACCCACAGAGGAAGGCTATTATAATTCAGTACATTCAGGAACATTATATGCCATGTACTCCGTTAGTCACTCGATCTCAAGGATTAATTCACCCCCGCCTCCAAAAAAAAAAAACAAAAAACAAAAAAAAAACCAAAATCAAAACAGAACAAAAAACAAAATTCAATAGAAAATCAGCACAGAAAGGGGAAATGTTTATATTTTTATAAATTTCACAATTTAACTACAAAGCTCCACACTGGAGATCATTGCTACTCAAAGTAGCCACATGCCTCCCTTAGGAATTATGTGGGTTATGAGTCCTTGTGAGATGAGGAACTTGTAAAGTATTGATGCCTGCATCCAGAATGTTTTTGCTTTAAAAAAAAAAAAAAAATCAGCTAAACTACAAAGTGTGCTTAGTACTTTATTTGATTTATATTCTGGCTCAAGTTCCATATCTCAGGGTGAGTAACTAACAATTCAAGGGCTGGCATTAATTAGTACATGGACTGTATGCACTTCATTTAGATCATAGCCATGGTGTTGTGAGCAGTGATATCCTAAGGAGTATCGTGCTAGGAAACTAATCCAGACCTCAGCTTCCTGGAAAAATAATAAAAGCAATAAAAACACATGAGCACAAAAGATGCAAACTTTTTTCTTTTCATTTGTTCTGGAACTGATTTAAAATATTTATCATGTATCTAAGTTATTCCTTCTTTCCCTATGGCCTCTCTCAATATTAACTTTACTCTATTTAAAAAAAAAAAAAAAAGAAAAAACAATACCAAAACAAAAATCAGCCAAGCAACCACATAAGGAAATCATTTTTCATAGAATTGAGTAGCTATAAGTCCTTAAATATCAGAAAACTGAAGTCTCCAAAAGTTAAGTAAATTAAATTTTGAAGGTCATTGTTTATATGCCTTCTGGAAAAGGATGGCAGAAGGAGATAGCTGGTGATTGAAATCACAAATGAGGAACCCAGAATTCTTTTTCTGGCTCCAAATCTACTCTACATTCAGAGCTAAGCCGGGTGGCCAACAAGAAATTAGATGAAAAACATGTTATTTGGTTTCTTTTGTTATTCAGAGGTTAATTCATCATATGAATCAAAATATTTGCCATACAGGGTCCAAATATATGAGACCAAAACATATAGGGATAATAAAGAGGGAACAGAGGAAAAATCTCAAAAAGTGATTCCAGTAAACCAGACCAACTTTGTTGGCAAGTAAACAAAAGTAGACGTTTTGAAGGCCTGAGAACCCATTAATATTTCCTGGTCACTCTAAAAGTCACAGTGCCCCCTAACCTTGGACCTGACTCATGGAAATTGAGGTCAGCAAGCTCACCAAGGACTTTCTCATGAGGAATAGTTAAAATGACAGGTTGCCAAGGTATGTGAAGGCCATTAAGGAGAGTATTAGTAAATATATATTTTTTGGCCTGGGTTCCATTTACAAGGGTATTTTCAAGTTGAATACACGAATCATAAATTATATACTTATGACTTTGTGTACTTCACTATATGACTGTTAAATACAATTTAAAAATGTACTTTTTAAGGGCAGAAAATATCATGTGCCAGGTATATAAAAGATACTCTGGGTCATAGCAAGGAATGTCTACTACTTGTTGGATGAATTATTTGAGTGCTTCCTTTTTCATCCAAAAATGTATGTATTGTAGGCTAATAATACAAATAATACATTCTGATAATTTACCCCATGGGAGAAGATTAGGTAAGTTTAAAAGGCACATGCACGAAGACATATTCTGTAGCTAAACATTGAAGCCACGAAGATATCCATGAGTCAAGGATTGGTTAAATACGTGATAGAAGAATCATGTAATGTAGGACTCTAATATTATAAAAATGACTACATTTTCTTATATGGAAAGATGCTGGACATGTATGGCTAAGTCAAAAAGTAAGCTTCAGAATAGTGTATAGTATGATTCCATTTTTGTAAAACAACAACTACTAGTACTGCTACTACTACTAGGCACACATACACAATGGTTGGCTTTAATTCATGTATAGCCAAAGGCATGCAAAAGTAAACTAAACAAGGTTATGCACCAAGTTGTTAACATTTTTTGTTAGCAGGTGATGTATGTTTGTTTACATCCTATTTTGTGCATGTATCTAAATTTTGATACAAAGAAAATATATTGTTTTATAATCAGAAAAAAACAATAAAGGTGTTTTCATTAGAAAAAATAGAAATAAAATTTAATGATAGCATATGTAGAGAAATCATGTGCCAGGTATATAAAAGATATTCTGGGTCATAGCAAGGTATATCTACTACTTGTTGGATGAATTATTTGAGTGGTTTTTTTTAAGCCCAGAACTCTTTCCCCTCCTCCTCTTTTTTCCCTCTCCCATCCCCACTCCTCCTCCTCCTTTTTTTGTACTGCATATACTTACATATACTACCAGCATATATTATACAAAACATTTGAAATGGTTCGTATGTACCTTTTTTTTTCAAAGTTTAAGATTCTCTGGCTGAGACAAGTCAATCTGCCTAGGGGGGCTTAACTGCTCTTTGTATTATAGTTGCATTTTATGGGATATTGTGAATGTTTTATCTAAGAAAAGAACAGATCCAGTTGCTATAGTCCCGGTCATGGGGAAATTGAAAGTGGGTAAGAACAATACCAGTTTAATTGGCAATGGTTAACAGATTCCCAGGCGGTTCTAATCAGTGCCAGAGTAGTGTGGCAAATTAATCAGGAAAGCTGCTATTTTGGCTTTCCCTGAGGAGTGAATCTGTATGTTGAATGAATGGCCTTAGTGTTTTAACTGTGGTGTAAGTCATCTTTCTGTCTCTCTGAATTTGAAACAGGTCCTTATAGCCATCTTATCCTTATCAAAAATTGTATTCAGGCCTATTACCATAAGTTATCCTGCTTAACAAGTATTAGAAGCTTACAGCTTCTAGACCCTTTCACTATTATCCTTAGCAGTATCAAAGAATCAACAATATCATGGCATCAACAATCAAGCCCATAATGCAAATTATTAAGTCTGGACTGACTGATCTCCTATCTTAATATAACTTAGTAGATGAAAATTTAAAAGTTAGGAACTAATGATAGTCTATCCTATTCCTGATACAAATTCAGAGCTTTGAAATATTGGCACTGTTTTGGCTTGGTTGTGTGTTTCATGCTTAGAGATACTGTTAACTTGTATAGGGCTACTTAACTATTGAGAAATCTCCATTTTTTGTTGTTGCTGTTGCCAAAAAAAACTTAGACTAAATAGTGATGATTTCCTGGCTCCAAATGTGAACATGAGCATAGACACTATACATAAAGAACTGCTGAAGGAGGCATTCTGTGTCCCATGACAGAGCAACTCAGAACACTATATCCCATGAATGAATCTGCCACAAATCCAAATCAAAACTGAAGAGGTCCCAGAACTTGGCTCATTTGCCTGCTACCGTGTATCTGAAATGATCAGTAAATGCATAGATAGACTTCCTGAGTTCTAAATCAAAGGCTGGTCCACATGTGCATGTATCATAGACTTCTGTGCCTAACTTGTGGCTTAATTTCTTGAGGTACATCTGTTAGCTAGAAGGAATCCTGCCAACTCATGCACTTAGTTCAGTTTCTTATTAGGTTCCCTATTCTATTAACTAAAGGTTTTTAAAAAAAATTTTTTAGCTGTCATCAAGAATAATATACAATAATAAAAGTTAAGCCTGTGATGCTTTATATTAACATAGCAATATAATACTACAATATGCTCCACATATGTATTTGAAGAAAATGGCATTCTTCTGTAACAGTATTTTTTGACTTCTAGCTTCATTTAACAGATGATTACTGAATGGCTCATGGTTGCCAAGAGCCAGGCAAGTGGGACCTACCACAGTACCTGATGTCAAGGGCCTTTTAGGAATGTATTTTTCCAGGTTCTTAAATTACTGTTTAAAAAAACTCAAATGAGGGACACTTGGATTGGACTCAGTGGTTGAGAGTCTGCCTTGGGCTCAGGTTGTGATACTGGATCACGTCCCAGGATCCAGTCCCCCGCAGGGAGCCTGCTTCTCCCTTGGCCTGTGTGTGTCTCTACCTCTCTCTGTGTCTCTCATAAAGAAATAAATAAAAATCTTTCAAAATAAATAAATAATAAATTCAAAGGAGCAAAACACAAAAATTCAGTCATAATTTTACATTTTGCTTCTCCCTAATAACAAATTAAATATAAAAGTGTTTAAATAAAGTCTACAATTTTTAAAAAAAGGATATTAAAATAAAGTGCAGGGAAAAGAGCAAGCCTAGAGAAGAAGGAATATTATCAAATGGGCCGAGACTAGATCTAAATAGAGGCCAAATCAGAGAGTTTTGCTTGTGATGGGTTAATCTTTCATTCTTAGAATAAATGTATGACATTACTTAATGATTAGTATGATTAAACATTCTTACCAATCGCTGTCCTCCTTCATCTGCCTTCATTAAAAAAAAAAAAAAAGAAAAGAAAAAGAGAAAGAAAAAAAAAGAAAGAAAAGAAACCTCTTAGGAAACCTGCAAATAAATCCTCTGATGGATTTGATGCCACATGTCATCACACCATTATTTATCCCTTAACTCCTGACAAGCTTGTGCACATCATAGACATCCAATAAAATCTGTTGAACTGAACTAACAGCAGGGAAAATGGAATGGATCTTACCTTACATGAAGCTTCTTTAATGAGAACCATGAACATGTGTCAATCTCTTCATTGACAATCTCTCATTCTGCCTTATGTAAAAGGAATAAAAAATAATAAATACATAAGCCAAATAAATAATAAGCCTCAAAATCAAAACACAAAATGTAATACCCCACCCGTTTTCTGGAATTCAGTATTCCCAGAATACTTTGGAGGTTGGCAGATGGTTCTCCATCCCCACAATGCCCAGCATTTGAAGGACATGTCCTGTGGGAGTGGTGGCACTGCAACTCGGTTACAAGGCAGACTCACCAATATACACTTCAAAAAAGCAACGTGATTAAGGGATCGACTAGGTGCTGATTATAAAGTATGTACGTGTTCGAGAGGTGGGGATAGGGGTAAGACGCCTCCATACTTAAGAGAAATGAAGCATTTCAGTTACAAAATAGAGGCAAGAATCTGTAGGAGCTAGATTACAAACAACCTAGAACACTCAGATTAGTTGCATACCTTAAACTAATTAAATACCCGTTGGGTTTTTCTTGGTTGGTTTTGTTTTGTTTTTAAGGTGGGTGCATGGGGCAGCAAGGCTGCGTTAAAGTAAACCTTTTAAGAGAAAGGTATCACTTGCCTTTTTTCCTGTTGATGGGCTGCTGTCTGACAGTGAATCTAGAAATATCTAAAGCAAAAAGCTCCTGAGGAGAAACCCTTTAAGAGGTGGTGCCTCAGCTTGGCCCCGGGACATAGTAACTGCCGGTGAAGCGCCCTCTGCACCTGTAGCGTGGGCCCGAACAAATGCGATGCCTTTGAGAATGCCCAGAGCCATCGGAATCTACTATCCGCCGCAAAGAACCACCTAACTACTTCAACACTTTAGCAAAGAATTTTCCAAAGGAAATTTAACAGGCAGAGGAAATGAAGGAGGTTAAGAAACAAACCGTGCTCCGGAGGCGGACACGAGCCGAGCCTGGCGGCCCGCGGCGGGGCCCGAAGCCCGGTCCTCACCCGGCGGCTCCTGCGAGCGCGGCCCGCGGCGGGCCCCAGGACTCCTCCCCCCAAGCCAGAGCTCAGCCTGCCCGTAATCCAGCACCTCGACGGGGAGACAGCATCCCGGGAGCCGGGGGGGGGGGGGGGGGGGTGTTTCCAGTAGGTTTTCCGGGAACTCAGAAACCACCGCTGGGGAACGCAAGTGTTCACCGCCAGGTAAAACTTACCCGGGTTTGAAGCACCCAAGACGGGTGGGCAGGCTCAGCGGGCGCCGCGAGGGTGCAGGGCCGGCAGTGCACAGACGACCCCGTGAACCCGGACGGGCGCAAAACAAACCGACAGGACCGCACACACCACAAAGGCAAAAGAAAACAGATGCACCAGAAGCACGTTCCGCAAAGTGTCGAGCTGCCTACACTTGCACGGCGGATCAGTGTTTGCAGCAGCGCACGCGAGGGCGGATCCTCCCGGCTGTGTGTCCGGGACCGGAGCGGGTCGTCCCGGGGCCGCGGCCCTGCGCAGCCCCGCCGGGTCCTCCCGAGGATCGCGACGGCCGACGCGGAGCCTGCTGGCGGCCCCAGGGGACACATTCAGGGGCTCCCTGGAAGGAGCCACACCCCTGGGAGCCGGGGGGAGCCCCGGAGGGAGTGGAAGCCCGGGGCTCGAGGCCGCCGCAGGAGAGGAGTCCGGGCGCTCCCCGCGGAGGGCGCCCGAGCTCCGGCCCCCACGCCCCGCCTCCGCTCCAGGCGGCGCCGGGAGCCGTGCACGGACCTGCGAGCCCCGGCGCGGCAACCTCCCCTCCCGCGGCGCGCGGGCCCGGCCGGGACTGGAGCGGCGCTGAGCTCCCCGCCCGCGCCCCGCCCCCGCCCCCGCCTCGGCGCCCCGCCCCCGCGCGGCCGTCCCGGGAGCGCCCGGCTCGAGCGCTCCGGCTGCGGGCGGGAGGGAGCCGGGCCGCGGAGCCGGCGGGACTGCGGGGCTCCCCGCCCCTCGGGCCGCACGACCAACGGCAGCGAGCGCGGCCCGCTCCCCGCCGGGGCCCGCGGGCGGGGAGGAGCTGGAGCCGGGGTCGGAGGGTCCTGGAGGGCGCGGAGGCGTGGGCACCGGGAGCCCCGTCTGCGGAAGGCAGGTGTGGCGCTGTTACCTTGTGTGTGTGTGGGGGGGGGGGGGGCTCGGCGGGCGAAGGCACCCACTTTCTGCCAGTTTCTTCCCCTCCGGAACACCTGGGCCCGCCGAGCCCCGACGCCCAGCCCGGAGCCGCGGGAGGGCATCGCCGCGACCTGCGTCCAGCTTGGCCGCACGCGCCCTCCCCACACGCTTGTATCTTTCATCCCTTCCCAATGCTCTGCCAAGTCGTGAGATGGAATGAATCGGATTGCAGTTTCCATCACTGCCAGGGAAACGGGCAAAGGTGAAAATCCCTCCTGGGAACCTGGCTTCGAGGGTCACAGACCTTGAAAGAACTCTGGGAAGGGCGCCGTTAAGGGACAGGGCCAACCTCGGTTACCACTGAGACCCCGGATCTTCACTTAAGGACTCTGGAATTCCTCTGTTTTTCAGCTGAGAAACTGTTATTTCAACTGATCATTCGATGTCTGTGGTCTCTTCTACTCTGACATTCAATAATCCAATGGGCTCTCTGGCCTGTTGGCCTAGTGAAGGGCCGAGCTCCTGCGAGGTGCTGGCGTGGCTCCTTTCCCTCCCTCCTGCTCCCTCCTGCTGCATTCACCCTGAGACCCGTCCACCTGTGGCTAGGAAAATGAATCATGTAAACCAGTATAGAAGGATGATGCTCACGTTTTAGTGACCATGTAAACTTGTACAAACACTCCTACTTACCAGTGCCCATCTCCTGGGATTATGCTAGTTGTGCTCATGTTAGGGGTTCTCCAGATAGAGACAGACTCTGAGGCCCCCTTAGTAAGTGAGCAAAGGCTCTCTCTCTCTCTCTCTCTCTCCCTCTTCCTCCTCCAGGGGAATTGTGGGTTTGTGTTCATCTTTTCAATGTGAATCTTTTTGCATCTTCTAAAATGCAGGGCCATAGAATGAGCAGCATGGAAAAGAGGGCAGACACAGACCTGCTTCTCTTCCAACACATTTCCGTTTGACACGTTCACGTGTCACTTTCGTGAGTTTTGTTACATTTGTCTATCCCTGAGTGTTTTACCTTAGATTTATACTGAGCCTCCTCTCTAATAGTAATATCCATGAAATCATTGGTTTGTTATATACCAATTGTATTTCAGTGCAAAATAAGTAAGTAATGAGTAATCTGTTTAGTCTTTTCTTGACATTTCCTGAGCTTAATTGCCTAGGACTGCTGTGAAAAATGACCATGACCTGTTAAAAAAAACTAATATGAGAGACAAAGCTGCTTTCATCTTTATTTTTTTCTTGATTTCGTATATAAATGATCTAGAGAATGTTAATTGTCAAATTTACTTACATAGAGTGTCGTCAAAAGTAGGTCAGTCTCACCACTCAAGTTCCTAGGAGTTCACAGGCAGTTTGGAGAAATAGTTCTAGCTTCTAATGAGCATGATCATCCCACTTCCAGTCCTTTTCTGTCTTACTCAGAGATGGATAGATTGGTTTTGTGTTGTTTGTTTGTTTGTTTGTTTCTTTGTTTGTTTGTTTTAACTGTGGTATTTGGAGTCAGAATCATTAAATTCTGATCCTGTCACTTATGATCTTTGTAACTAAGCCAATCACTTCATCTCTCTGGGTCTCATTTTCCTTATGTACAAAATGGCAATAATAGTATCCACATTAATAGGTTGTTGTAAAGTTTAAATACACATACATGCATACACACACACACAGAGTTCCTAGCTATTGTCTGGCATGTAATAAGTGCATAAAATTATTAGTTCTGTCTTTCCTTCTTTGCTGTCATCAAAGCAACATTTAGAATTACTTTGTCCATTCTCTAATTTCCATCTAGGTTATCAGGAAGCTTGTGTTCTGTTCCTAACACTCCCTAGACTAGTTCTCTGCTCCCTTTCCTTGATTCCTTCATCTCTGCCCTGTTGTGATGCTCCCTCTCCAGACTCTATCCTATCTCTCATGGCTTAATCTCTCTTCTTTCCAGCAGTTCTCACATTCCATCTGCCACAATGTCAGAGCTCTGTGCCCTGTAGAGAAAGTGAGATTACTCTAAGAAGAGAGTAGGTCATAAAAATTCTTACTACCTTTGCGTTTTCATGATGTGTCAGTAAGTCCTTTTTGTTTGTTTAAATCATGGTCTTCCTGAAGACATGGGAGAAATTTATGTTATCTAATGCTATGGAAAAATTCCTAGAGCCACAAGTACTATTAAATTCAACAGACATTTTTGGAGCATCTGCTATATGCCAAGCAGTGCCCCAGGCACTAGGGAGATAAAAATAAAGAAGACAAAGTCTCTGCCCTAAAATGCTTATAGTCCAGTCAGGCTGGCAGATATATAAATACCTAAATTGAATATAAGCATGCCTTGTAGGGCTTTAAGCCAATAGTGCCCATGTAAGAATTTCCTTTACTTTTTCAATTATGATGTTGTCTTGGACCAGCCAATCAAAATTCCCACCCTGCCCACAGTCCCCTGCTGAGTGAAGATCCTTGTTCTATGCCTGAGCGGAGCTCATTACTCAAAATGGGCTTAATTGGTGAAGCCAAAAAGACCATATACACATTCTCATTTTTCCCATGCCCACTCCAACCCCAGTTGCAGCTAGGGTGAGAGCATGTAACCTCAATTTGGCCAATAAAATGCCTTCCTTACACCTAGAATTGGGAATTGGTCATACAAGGGAGCTGAGATGAGAAGAGCTCTCTGTAGCAGTGACTGCAACAATGTCCGGTTTCTAGGGCCAGCAAGGGGAGGAGCAATGAGCTTGGGTTTCCAGTGCCCAGGTGTCAGTTGCAAGTTATGGCTTCTGCTGCTCAGTGATCTCACGTGTCTAATTTGGGGTATGATTGGCTGGGCTTCTGGATGTTCCCTGTTTCTGTTCATTCTTTGAGCTTCTCTCTGGTCCAGTATCCTTTCATTAAATTCAATTTTTGCTTAAACTAGCCAAATGAATTCTTAGCTACTAAGAATACTTTGTATATACTTGGTATAAAGGCTCTACCTCAACAAGAAGAATGTTAATTAATTTAGGTAACTTCTGCTAGGACGTTCAAATTGGAAATATTACAGTTGGTCAATTGAAATCCAGAGCAGAAGCTAAAAACACAACCCATGGACTATGAGACAGCAAGGACTATGTGTAGGCTGGAATTATGAGTAAGCAGAAGTTATGAATAAGCAAAAGTTATGAGTTAGCAGAAATCTACATACATGCAGAGGAGAGGAAGAGGTGGTTGGCTGAGAGCAGCAAGGAAACAGAAGCAAGAGGAACTGAGTCCGCATGATGCTGAGGGAATAAGTGAACCCTGCTCTCAAGGGGACTCCAGGCTAACCCGTCCCTAGATTTGCCTTGAATCCTGTACTGTTTTCCAATTTCCAAACTAGTTTTCCTTTTCTGATTAACCCTGGCTATTTCTGGGTCAATCAGAAATTTTGAAATTCCAGTTGTTCTTATTGTGATGTATACCTTTATAGAAACTCCCTTATTCCTTGAGGTAACCAGGGTAAGACCCTATTTTATATGACCAAAGCATTCTGAAGACTGCAGGCATGATATGGCTAGGACCCAGGAAACAACAGTCAAATAGTGTATCTTAAAAGTCACTGGTCTTCCTCTTCAAAAATGTACTTTCTTTTTTTCATATCTTACTTGAAATTTCCAAGAGAAGGACCTTCCTCTGGGCTGAAAAATTAATGGTTTATCAGAAGCCCCTGTTTAAAATGTACTCAAGTTTCTTGTGGGAATGAAAAGCCAGAGGTGTTTCTCTCTACATTAGCCATTAGCATCTGAGCAGATCATATGAGTTCATTCTTAAATTTGAACTCTTAAGGGCCTGATACTTAGGGGTTCAGCTAGGTATAGAGCAGAAAAATTGGGCACTGAGAGGGAAGAGTGGAGAGCAGATATAATAGAAAATGGCCATGAGAGTCCCTGGAACATTATAAAGAACTATCCTATGGAATATTCCTATAAGGGAAGGTCCTGGTGGCAGCCAATGTAAAGAGTGCCAGGGAACAGTAGGGCCAAAATGGCAGCCATACAACAAGGTGGACACTAACACCAAACATTCTCACTTCACAGTCTACCTTCTGCCAGTTCCAGAGTATGACCTTGCATAATTTTTGTTCTGCTTCAGCTTTTATGGGAGATGGGGCTGGACTGAAGTGGCAGAGAAAGATGACTATCGTATATGCCCATCTTGAGATAATACTCGGAAATTATACCAACATTAATTATACCTTGGGGTTACTTGCATGAGTCCATGGCCTTTGTTTTATCTTCCATAACATACAGTGCCCTCTCATGGCTTGTGAAAAAAAGAAAAATCTGTATGTCTGACCTAATCAGCGAATGACACACAGTCTAGAAAGCAAAAAAGTAATTCTCTTAAAAGGACATGACACAAGTAGGAAGGAATTTACACATGCTGCTGTGTTTGAAAGGAGAGGAAATGCATTGAAGCTGTTTTAATGAAAGCAAGAGTCTGAAGTTATCCCTAAAGAGCTTTATGTTCTCAAAGTCTAAAATGTACCTCAGAGTTTGTTTGTTTTTCTGAGAACAGTGGGTAGAACTATACTTGGAATGGCCGTGAGTCACATCAGGGTGAAGGGAGGAAAAAAATATTAATGCCACGGACACCACTTTTCATAGGGTGTGCTTTAGCCGCTGGGTGCTGTACTTGCCCAT